ATTGTACATTTTCTTGCTGGTCTCCAGCAAAGAAAAGGACATCAGGTGCAAGTCATCACCTATTACCAGTGTGGCGGCGGTGGTGGAGTTCGACCACGCAAAACCAAATGCCGTGAGAATGACCAACAGCATGAGCACAGTATCCTCCACCAACACGCGCTTCAGCGATATTGGCACACCGTCATGGTTTGTAACGGTGGTACGACCGTAGCGCCACACGCTCAGGGTAACCGTTCCCACAAGGAGTCCCACAGCAATGATAATCATGCAAACCAGAAGGGCTGTTGGTGGTATTGTAACAACAGAAGAATTCCCCACATCGGGAATAAAAAAACGGGAACCGGTGGAATTCGTGAAGTTCACCACATGTACGAACAGGTTCTCCAGGAGAGGAGCAGCGAGGGGGTCCACATACTTGCTGATGAGTCGGTCCCATTCCCCAAGATTTTCCGATCGAATATTCCCCACCTTGATACCTCCAATTCGCGGCACGCTGCATGCCATCCCGTAACGGTCACACTGCAGATCACGAAATGAGAGATCAAGCGATAGTTTAAAGGGATGTGGAACATCCACGCTCACGAAACCATCTTCGACAGCTGGCAATAACCCCAAGAAACCCTTCTGCAATACTTTCAATTTGAAGGGATTTAAGTGTGGTCATCGCCCTTCTCCAAATAGAGTGGGGCTCCTTCAAATCGTCAGAGGCGAGATGAAGGCCGTTGGTAAATCCCAAAACTAAGCGCAGCGTTGCCCCAGAGTGCAAGGAGGCCCCAATTTCGACAAATGGCACTGGTGGAAGCCCTCTAGCCATGTTCACAATGGCACGGAACAGCGGCACATCTTCCAGATGTGTGACACCTTTTCCAGGTAATGGGTGGGGTGTTGGTGGGTGCTCTGTATGATTACGTAGTTCCTCTTTGATACGGGGCAGCACAGTTTGACAGATTACCCGTCTCACCTCTTTATTAATGATACCCTTAAGAGGGCGCACCATGATTTGGAGAAATAAGTTTGATGGGTCAAATAAAATCTCCCCTATTTCCGGGTTGAAGTCACATTCTTCGGTAACATTGTCATTGGTGAGGCAAGCCCCGTCGACGGATTTCGAGAGAGCAAAATGACTGGGGTTTATTTGCATATCACCACAGACTGTGTAAGTACTGAATAGCGCATCCGCAGAAGCAGAAAAGTTGAAAATAGACGGTTCCGCTGTCACCAAGGACCAATGCGAAGAGTTGAACGTGCCCCTCGTCGCACCGATCCGCACTCTGGGATACGACAGATTACTGACCCTTATGAGATTGATATTCTGGTCGAAGTTCGGCAGTTGTATGTCGCTTAGGAGGAGAGAGCTCCAACAAAATACAATCGACAGGCACTCAGTGATCATCGCAGGTGGGAAAACACTTAGAAGTGTATTGAAGTTCTTACCGGGCGTACGTGCGTCAGCAGGGCTTTTTCCGCTTGGAGAGAGAGGGGGAAGAAGTCTCCGAGGAGGAGTTCTCAGTTCACACTGTAGGACACCTACGGCACTTCGCGGTACCAAAAGGCGACGATATGGAGGTGCAGCCGAGCAAGAAGAGCCAGTGGCCAGGTTAACCTCAGGAGAGCATTGCACAACGCCAATATATCTTAATCAGCAGTTAGACAATCGCTTTCCATCAATAATGCATTAAATGCTTCATATTGCAATACCTTTAGAAATCTACCAATGGGGAAAGGGAAAAAAGGAGTTGATGAATGAATAGTCGAGGGCGCATACTGTTGGTTCAGTGTATTCAGTACCCTGAATTAAGTAGAAATGTTGTTGGCAAGCACACATGACTCCTATCAATGTCCGACCGCACCCCACAATACACTTGAGAGAACCTTCAGCATCTGCTCCGCCAGTTCAGCCTCCTCCTCCTCCTCCTCCGCCTCCGCCTCCTCCTGAAGTCTGGCGGTACTGTCCCGTTCGCTCATGCCGCGGTTGAATGCCGCACTCTTGATGGCTCCGTATTTCCCACAGTAAAACTCCACAACGACGAAGCACACACGCGTCGACTTGCACATTGTCAACGTTAAAGCAACAGTTCCGGTGGTTTGGTTAGAATCTTCACCTTCGTGATCACTTGAATCATCTGTGATGAGATGAAGGGCATATTTAGGCATACAGGCGGTAGAAATGGAGCGGTATTGTCCCTCTAGCACTCTCCTCCAGTCCAGCCGAAGCTGCTGGAACGGTTCGACCAATGTTGTGAGAGGTATTCGAATACACCGTGTTTTTAGGGTCTGTAAATCATGCGTAGCAGGTCCCCAATCCGCAACACCCACATTTTCGCCGTTCTCGGTGAACGGAGTGCGAAATCGCTCCCATGCAGAATTCACACGCTGCTGAAGTGTGCTGTCCATAAGCAGCTGTAGTAGTAGATCCTTAGCTCGAAGGGCAAGACTGCGAAGATCACCGCTCAGACAGCGGTCACACCCGGTTGTGTCACGGAGAGTTGAAAGTAGGACGAACAAGCGCAATGATGACCATACCACGAGCCCGCAGTAGTGGTACCTTTCGCGCGAAGCTTCCCGCAGAAGTACCTCACCTTGGTCAGGTATAAGTAGCCTCACACCGCTGCCATCTGGGCCTTCATTCTGCTTTGCAGTCAACAATTTTCGCATTCGGCGCAGGTATGTCTCATCCACATCGAAAACCGCAGCAATGTTAAGGCTCTCGTACGGAGGGTGTGGGTAATACTTTACGAGATTTTCGAGAGCATCGGAGGTCTGCCGATGACCAGGCAGAAACGTTGCGTACATCTGTACGCACCGCGATAACCGACTGACTGTCAAGTCATACAGCACGCTGTTGAACTTCAAGACTTGTTTGAACCACGCGGCAGCCTGAGCAGCCGTGCTTGTAGAAATCAACACGCCCTTTACCATAAAGACATCAAGGGCGAAGTGGGCAACCTGGAAACCAATTTCCACGATGAACAATCCGCCATCAGTGAGCGAAGTTGTTGAGGTATGTTCCGGGTCCCTCCATCCCATTGAATTCAGGACATCTATGACTGGAATCAGCGCGTAATACAAGTGAGGAATGAAACGAATCTCCTTTCCTTCCGGAGAGACAACTTTGCCATACCGGCACCGTAAACGATGGAGCAACGCTGCATCGGAAGATATTGCAGCGTTACTGGCGTCCAAGTCAATGATGCGTGCAGAAGGAAATGTTTGTCGAAGGTGTTGCACATACGACTGCAAGGCAGCGTCTACGGACGGGCAGTATTCAGAACCTGGTTGATTTCTTGGTGGCAGTGATGGGTCAAGTATGTCGTCGGAGGGGCGCCACCGTGTGCGGCGGAGAAGGGTAAAGTCAGGCACACGGGAGCCAAATATCTGTTTGCTGCGACGTTGGAGAAAGACCACAGACTTGGCCAGATGAACGTAATTTTCACGTGACGAAGAATTCCAGAGGGATTCACACCGTTGAAGAAATTCGGCGACACCAGATCTGGAGTTCTTCGATTCAACAAGAATGTGAGCCACCTGCATGTGCCGACGGAAACTGCAGCCAATCAAAGCATCATCAGGAATGTCGTTCGAGTTGACTACACGACACCTACCTGTGTTGTGTTCCATTCTAAAAACACCCTCACACAATAGATTTTGCATGATTCGCTGGCATTCCTTCAAAGAGTACTGCGGGCATTCGTTGTAAAGCACCCTGACAGCATCGTCCACCACGAGGACACCGTTCACGATGAGACCGCGGTTGAACAGTCCCTCAACAATGATGGTGAAAGGGTCACCGCTAGCTGAGGTTTGAAGGGGGAACCGCACGTAGTTGACGCGCCGCCTGTATGTCTCCTCGTGAATATCTAGGTGTTTTCCCTGTGTCACGTTGCTGTCGTCACCACAACAAAATCTTGCCAACACCGGCTCTGTTAAGTACGAAGGGGCGCCAAAACCCATTTGTTGAATCATCACGTCATGTAGAAGATTTGACTGTTGCTCCGCCTCCGCAATAATGTGACCCATTAAGCGAAGCAGTATGTCAGAGTCACGCATATTAAAGAGAGCAGCTGTCACACCACTTAAGAGAGAGATGTGCATTACAACATGGGGTTCTGTTGATATCTGCACCTCGATGCCGTGTTCCCTTAGAAGTGGACTCTGTGTCAATACAGTTATTTTTGTGATGGGAAGGTCTGGATGTGTCACACGCAATGCACGCGTCGCCGTTGCCGCAGCCGCCCCAGCATCCTTCCTCTTTTCTTCGTCATTCAACCCCGCCTTGGAAGCGTCAACCGTGATACAGTACCCGCACGTGAGATAGAATTCGACGTGCTCCACCTGGGGGTCGCCCTGTAGTTTTTCAACCCACCGCCATGGAAAGCCGGCAAGGTGCGATGGCCCGGTACCCGGTCTGCACTCAAAGCATACGGGCGAGAAGGGTTCAAAGATCCCAGTGAGACGCTCAACCAGGAAAGGAAACACGGCCTCGGCGACACGCTCTAGCGAAAAGTTCTTAAACCGCAGCGTAGACGACTCAGTGGACGTGACGCAAGAACCGTACCTCAGCAATTCGGTCACGGCAGGCACGACCTGGTGGCATGGCAAGGAGGAAAAACGTTTCGACATGACAAAAAACTGCCACTGCAAAACAGCATCTCGCACAACCTCATCAATTTGTGTCAGGTATATTGTCTCCGACTCGCCTATTGTGTAGCGTTCCTCTGGCACCTTGGTCAGGAAGCGATCGACTACCACTCGCGATCCATCTGTGACACGGAGGACGCAGGATACAAGAACCTCTGTCAGACCCTCGATCACCTTCACGAAGCGCAGACGGGTTGCTGGCACAAGTGAAGAGGAGCAAGAGGAGGAGGAGGATGTATCATGCGGGCATGACTCTCCAATTGGGAAAGATTCAGTACTATCCCTCTCGTCTTCGTCTAGAAGGCCGTAGTGCTCCATGAAGTGGCTGATGGTAGGGTTCCCTCCTTCTTGTACATGAAAATACTTAAATTTGTTCTCCTTTAGGCCCAGCACCACAAGAGCAAAGGCGAGGTGCACATACGTCGGGTGCAGCGGTTCGCTGCTGCCTCCAACAACTTCCTGTAGGTCAATACAGACATGATCAAGGCGCTGATGCTGCAGAAACATAAGGTCCACCGCGGAGATACATTTATGTTGGACGTAGTTCAAGTGGCTTTGTAATTCTTGTATGGCTAAAAGGAAACAAAAGTCCTGCAGCTTGCGGAGAGGACGTTCCACCAAGGCGTTCTTCGTTGCACTGAACAGTTGCACTATCAAGAGAGGGCATCGGTCCGCCGGAGAGAGTGAAGGTGACGGTGCCGTTAGCAATGGTGGATGTGCTGTATCCTTGACAAATACAAGCCGGATGTAGTGGAACGTGTCCCGCTGTATATCATCTGCCACCACAAAGCACTGTTCCCTATTGTAGATGTTAATTAGTTCCAGTCTGGGTCCATTGCTGGCAATACGGGAGAGTATTTTCTTGCATTGATGTTGTAATTTGTAGTATATCGGAATTTTCAGAACAGTAGTACCACGGCAGTAAAAAGCCGCAGGGGGTGGAGCTATAGATTCCTTTTTCGTCCGCGAGGCTGGTTGAGGCGAAGAGAATTGGTCTCCCCAAAGGGGCGGGATCAGTTCATTATTCGCGTTTTGGGTATCACGTAGCTGCTTTAGGAGATGTAACTGACTGACCTCCCTCACCTTTGCTTCAATCGATCGTCGGAGGTGCTTGCAGAGGTACAAGCACACACTCGAGTCCCCTTGATGCTCATTGAACAAAAGGCAAACCCGCTGGGAAGTGCTAGATTTTTCAGCGGTCACATGCAACAGCAACCACCCTGAGTCGAAATGGTCCTTATTGGGCACAAAGAGGAAACACGACGAAGTTGCTGGTACAACACAAACAAGATCCTCGGCCAAGCATCGTGTAAAAACGTGCAAAAGAGCATGTGTGGGATCTACCGCATAGCTGCACTTCGATTGCTGGGTGAATTCCACGGCGAATGAATCCGCCTCGAAGCAGGGTACACTAAGAAGAGCCGGTGAAACTGCAAACGCTAACAGCTCCATAAGTCCTGTGATGCCAGAGGCAGCATGCAACACTTCTGGGGACTTTTGCGCCAATACTTGTAAATCTTCAGCTTCCTCCAAGTCTTCATTAGTTTTAGAGTTAGCGGGGCACGCGACACATGTGTTGTCAGTCTCGTCACCCTTTACAAGGTGCCGCAGAACACGAAAGGGTACAGCTTGCAGGCAATCCGAAAGACAATGACGCGCGACGCTCTTCGTGAGATCGAACACAAGTACGTCAAAGAATCGCTGGACCGCCGCTGGCAGCTCGTCGAACGGCAACGCTTGTCTGGACAAAGCGCTCACCCCCGCGACGGAAGACTCCGTAGAAAAGAAGAGCGATTGCTTACCCTTTCCCTCCTCGCAGTTTCCCTGGCACTCGCGCAAAAGCTCTCCAAGAATACGTCGTATCACCTCCACCGGCGGGTTGTAGTTGTCGCGCGACAGGTCCACCAGATGCTTGGGCGCTGTCATGACGAAGAAACGCATTACGAGACGCCGCCCTGAGGCACGAGGCTGTAACTCCGCGGCAGCAGGAGACCAAAATGGCAAGCGTTCTTCGGGGGTATCAACTGTAACGTTTTCCGGCAAGTATATCCACATACAATCCTCTTCGTGACCATCTTCTGAGACAAAGAGCAGCGCAATTTTCACAAGAAACGGAAGTGTCGTCAGGTCCTGCTGACTTACGTGGCCTGGTGATGAAACTATCGACGTGGTCTCCGCTGCAGACTCCCCTGCGGGCTCCTCCACACTGCTGTGTGATCTATCGTTTACAGGGAGAAATACAGTTGGGTGTGTCGGCAAAGGTCGGAGACACATAGAGCGCACCAACGAAGTGATCAAAGAGCGCAAACTCGCTGGGAGGGAGGGGCCGTGGTCCCGATTTCTCAGCTTGCACTCCTGCACATAAAGGAGGTGGGAAACATCAACCTCCTTTCTGTAGTCCTGAAAAGTGGCGAAGACCCGCAGAACATCCTGTGCCATACCTGCGGTCTCAGCGGTTTGACGCCCCACTCCATAACGCTGCTCCTCCAGCAGCCTCCAGGCCTGGTAGAGCGAGCTGAAGGAAGTGAGCAATTTAGTAAGAGCCTCGAGGAGAGAGGTGTGTGAACAGTTAGGTGATCCATCATCATCCATTTCCTCTGTACCTGGACGACTGTAGAGTCGCATCACACCTTTATAGAGAGCCGATGTATCCATTGAAAGGACGTGGAGAGTTACTCCCCTCATTTTCTCTGATATCGCGCCCTTGCTAACGCGAGGCATGAGGAGAAAGGTCGCACAGCTGCATTGTAGCGGCATTAGCATGGAGAAAAAAAGCTGGCTATCCCGCATTTTTTCTATTGTGGTGTCCACTCCTTCGTCTGTGCCATACAGCTTCCTTAGCAGGCTCTCGTCTACAGCATTTGCACTAACCGTTGCGGAACGGTCTCCCAAAGAAGATACAAAGCGGCCTATTGTCTCTCGAAGATCGTCTTCACCCTCCTCTCCCATAGAGGGAAGGGAATGCAACGTGATGGGGTGGGCATGGCTAGCCGACAAGAAAGGAAGAAGAGATTCAAGTCGTGGAGCGAGCTGCACAAGTCCACGCTTACCCTCCTTCGTAGGCAATGAATGTTGGGGTGATGTTGGTAGCGCCACAGAAGAAAGCACTGAAAATGTGTGAAGCACCGTGGCAACCCTGATGTCTTCCGATATATCTGCAGTCAGCTGCTGTCGATAAGAAGAGGAGAGAGCAAACTCAAATGGGCGCACGTACCTGTAAATGATTACTTGTGCAGTCAGGCCCACGTCGCCATTCTCCAGGGGGGCCTCGATCACGTCAAACACATCCACTACATGATGCCCATCACAGAGCCGTGTAGCATGAAGAATCGCTTTACGTTGAGTCAGGCAATGCAGTAACCTAAATCCGTCTCGAATACGGCGTGTAAGAAAAAAGTTAAAGGCAGGCTTTGCGAAAGTCCTCCACATCTCTGATGCCCCAATAGCCCAATGAAAAACAAGAGCGTCGGACAGTACCCATGGATTCACCAAATAAGGCGTCAAGAAGCAGCGAAAGGTAAGTTGTTGAACAGTTCGAATCCTCTTACCTGGTGGCACCTTCAAGAGGGGATAAAGTAGAACAGCCTTACGGTTCGTCACACCACTTAGGGTAGTTCTGAAACTGCTTGGCGACGGCTCACTGTACATAGCAAGCAAATCTAACCTCCGCGGTGATACATTGGAAGAAGTCAGGTGAAGGGCACGCTCGTTTGTGGCATCGACGTTGACCTCTACGACAAGGCGAAGTTCTGTCTTTCCGCCAACAATTACTTTTTTTGAGGCTGAAACCGCTTCCTGTACACCCGCAATAATCTCCGAAATAATTCGTACTTCCTCGTCAATGCTTGATAGAAGGAAACTGAAACGGCACTCTAGTCCTGCAGCAAGAAATCCTTCGTGGCCGCTAGCAAAGGCATCATCCAGCAAAAACACTTGAACAACATAGCGGGGGCAGGCGCCTTCATTATCCACAGAAACAAATGTGTCGCTCTCCTCACGGCCCAAGGTGCGATGCCTTTTCCCCAACGCAGCTTGAAGGACACGCACGCCTAACGCTGCAACAGAGGGCACACTGGTGCTCTGTATTTTGTTGCACGGGTCAAGTAGCTGCAGCACGCCACCCTCCCACCTAAAAAATAATCCTACAGAACGAACGCTACAGTGCGATGACCACCCGGCAGACACTCCCTCACGGCTGGAGAGCCACTGCAGTTCCTCAAGCAAAGATGATCTGGGGTGCTCAGCAGCCAGAAGGCATTGTAAAGCAGCCTGTTCTGCACGCATCCAGCTGTGTAATTGAGATCGCAAAATAATTAGGTATGTTAGCCAGCCAGTCTTGGCTTCTGTCATCGTTCCGATAACGGCTCTGTCCTCACCCTTTGCCTTCACAAACTGGTCCACCAAAACTTTCGTGCCAGAGACAGTTACACAACGGTAGACTACTGGATAGCTTATCTCCATCTCATACGAAATAATGATTTTTCCCCGTCGTAGATGATGCTGATACCGCGCATGAAGCTGGGCGACGTGGTGATTTTCTACGTCCTGGTTCATGACTACACTCCACCCTTGATTGAATCGCGCCTCCGCCACACAGCGGAGAGTAGAAATCACGTCGCCGACACGGCGGAGGGCAAAGTCACTAAGACCACTGTCGGTGTTGTATAGAATACAAGGATCACACGCTCTTTCCACACTCGTGGTAGGCATATTCTGTGAAATGCGATTAAATCGAACGGGAAACTTAGCCTCCATCTGCACAAACAACTGTTGAGCCAAACAACGCGGCCCTCCAAATCGACGACACCAGTCTATATTTAGTCGTGGGGATGCCAGCGAGAGCCAATGGTCGAGGTGCACACCGAATCCGCCCACGGTTGACAGGAACTGTGAAAGCGGGCTTGTGTGAAAGTCATGAGATGTTGCTTCGCTCAAAAACAGGATTGACAATATGATGTTCTTTCTTCTGACAGAGCTCTCTAGAAGCGAAACGCTATCGTTTGACCAAGGATTCGCATTACTAAGTAAAATGAGACTTGTGCACTGCGGCGATCGTTCTGGTAACAAACGAACGAGATGCTCTATGGATGCAAATAATGATCGATCAGGCCATTCACCAACAAGACGCAATCGACAGGCCTCTTCGTACTCTCTCAATTTTCCTTCCAAACGTGACGAAAAAGTTTTATCCTGTAATAACATCACTGCATCACACCTCATCATGAGCGGAACCATCATGTGATAGCTAGAAGTGTCATTCGAGGCACCACACTCTAAAGCGGGGAAAGGGAGGGCATCCGCAGGAAACAACGGCGGATAATCTCCGTGTAGGTCATTCCCACACCCCACCGTAGACGACGACTCGTTCGGAAAAACAGAAGCGAGTGAACCCACCTCGAGTCGGGGCAGATTGATAAGAACAATAGAAACCTCTATTGTAGGCCTCCATACCTGCCGAAGAAATTGTTCACGTTCATCCCCCTCCATGTGCATGGTAGCCCATCGCCTAATATGCATTGTTTCCTGTTCACGTGTACGGAGTGTCTTCTCGACGACGCCAA